TCTTCAATGTTCTTTATTTCTCAGATGTGATTTTTGTTACTCCTTTAGCTGCTTGAGTCTTCTTGATTATACAGTAATTTTCTTAAAAAAAAAAAAAAAAAAACATTAGCATTTGTAATTTGTATATTTAAAAACTGTTAAAATTACAAGAACCCTTAATTTTATTTTTAGAATATTCCGAAGAATCGAGCATTTGCTATTATTAGCCATTTGTTTATAGTTTGCAGTTAAATACCAATAACAATCTCCTGTTTGTTGTTATAGGTAATTAATCAAATTAAATTAAATAATCTACAGATGCCACATTCTGTGTTTTGTGGCTATTTATCATTCTGCAATTAGAAAAATGGTAATATAAATGTTAAAAAAAAATCTTCTTCTGTTAGTAATACCAGTCGTTGTTTAATTTATATTTCATCAGTTTATTCTTACAGATAGAGTTCTCCGCCATATTTAAGTACGCTTTTAAGAGACTAACCATTCTAAAATCCATTTCTTTCGGTTTGTGTATCAAATTCTGTGTTCTTTACAATAGCTAAATGGCATTTAGCATCGGCCAAAGTGATTAGTAGCTTTTACGTATGGTTAAGTTAATAATAATCTCGCCTATGCGGCTCTTTGCATGTTGTATTGGTGCTAATACGAATCACGATTACTTCTTGAAAGTCTGGGTATGTAACACAACAATGGTGATTGATATTGGAGACAGTTTATGTTTTCTTACGATTCGTTCAGTTTCGGAGATTTTATGAATTATTTCTCCAAAATCTTGCCGTTTCCATTTATCAATATTAATCACATCACTAATCGTTGATCATGGAAACATAAGAGCCCCGTGTTGTCGTCACAGACCATTGGTACCCAAACTTTTCGATTGGCAATCTTAGACAGGAGGACCACAAATATTTTCTATATTCCGTATATATAAAATGTAGGGCCATTCCTATTAATTAAAAGTTATGTGTCAAATATGTTCGCTGGGCGGATTTGGCCCAAGAGGAAGTAATTTTGGCACACTACGGAGAATACAGGAGTTTACAGATTTGATTACAGATTAACTGCTTTATTCTCATTCTCCGTGGGAATAGTTTTTGATCAAGATAAGTTTTACTTGCCAATCATAATACCTTCATCTAAAATAACTAGTCATAACTATATTTTATTTATTTATATAGGATTTTTAGATAGCAAACCATTGAAGTTGAATTAATATGTTAGTGAGAGATAGTGTTTGTTTTAAATATTTTATT